TATATATATATATATATATATACCCACCCCTATCTAAATGTATGCTCCCATAAATATCTTGTCCTTTAAAACATAAAAATATGCAAATAAGGTAGTACAACATCTAAATGTTGTCTCATGATCAATGTATGATCGTAGTAATCTTGCATCACAATACTAGTGCCTTTAATAAGCTGGTAAAACCATGCACAAAATTTCCCACAATCACAAGACTATTAAACTGGAGGAGCGTAGAAAAATTGAAAGAAAAAAAAATGATCGAAACAGACACAACACAAATCAAAGACATTGAATAACAACATGGATAGACATGACACAAAATGCACTTCATATACACAGTACAAGATGAGAGTTAAAGAAAAACAATTAAAAAAAGAAAAAAGCTAGAACCTAAGTTATTATTTTTTAAATATGAAGGTACCTAATGATATTAAAAAATTTGTAACATTAGAAATTTTTAACAAATATTTGGAGAAAAAATAAAGTCAACAAGATATTTTTTATGTGAAACCTATATAACTAACTAAATAAATAAAATAAAATTATTTTGGGATACCGGCTTTCTTTTCTCCATTTTCTCCCATCTTTCCCGCAAACAATTTACTTAACCAAAAATAATATTAATTTATTATTTTGTTTGAATAAATTTTTAGGTAGATCTTTTAATTGTTTTAAAAAAAAATTAATTAGATCACCAAATTAAAAGAGAATTGTTAATTGGGCCATTTTTTTTTATTATTTTTTTATAATTTAATTCTTACGATTAAAAGTTTATTTATAATTATTGAAATTAGAAAAAATATTTTATATATCTTCACACTAAACGTTTATATTAGATTATTATTTTATATCACCATTTATATATATTAAGACTCAATCTCTACCTGTTAAAATTTTAGTAGTTTAATTTCTAATCTAAAATTTGTCTAATTTTTCTATCCATAAATGTAGTTTCCAAAATTGTTTTCAACCATTGAATTGATTGTTTAGTTATTAGGTTATAAAAAATATTTTATCAAATTTCATAGATTATAAATAGATCATTAAATTTTGGGACTAAATTATAAAATTATATAAATAAAAAAAATGAAATTCTTAGTTGAATTTTTAAAATTTAAACACTAATAAAAATTTTCAAAAAAAAATTAACAAATATATTAAATTACTTTTTATATAAAATTAATGTTATTAATTTCATTTTTATTTAATAAGGTTTTTCCTACAATCTCGTAGATTTTAACTTACAAACAAAACTATTTAAATAAAAGTACACACACATCTCAAAGCTAATGTGATTATGACAATGAACATTATAATATTTTGAAATAGAAGGAGAGACATATATACAATGTAGTTTTCTTTTGACCAAATCGTATGCAACGGCAAGCATGTGGGCCTAAAGAGGTCCATTAAAAAGTGGGCTCAGAAATTGGTGATATTGTTGAAGGATGAATAAATTAAGGTTAATGATATATGCACCTCCTTTTTTCTATAAGTACACCTCCTTTATTTTTAAAAAAAATTAATTAAAATTTTAAAATATTCTTAATTTTTTTATTTTTAATTTTACATCCACAATATTTAATTTAGTATTTTTTTTTCACATATTTTTCTTCCTTTTTTCAATTTTTACATGCACCCCCTTATCTTTCTTTCACTACACTTATTTTGGTAGCATGTGAAAACTAAAAGAGAAAAAAAAAAAAAAGTATGTGAAAAAGAAGAAAAAAGTAACAAATTAAAAGTTGGAGGTGTAAAATTAAAAAATTAAAAAAAAGTTTACAATATTTAATAACTTTTTTAAAAAAATAAAAGAGG